TGAGATAAAGCAATTTGCCGGGCTGCTGTCTGAACCGCGGGGGGGGGCATCTGCTCCCGGTCGTAACTCATCCCGTCTGAACCGAGGGCGGCCGCGCACAAAGTTGCAGGAAAGATCATGTCTGATCCTTCTCACCCTGCTCACAAACTTTTTTTAAACTCTCCCCTCTGGCAGAAGGTTGAGGACCATCAGGACCAAAAACCTCACACCATAAAGACAGTTTCTCATCAACAAGGCCAGTGGCCACTAATACAGTGGGGGAAATAAGTATTTGACCCCTTGCTGATTTTGCCGGTTTGCCCACTTACAAGAATGCTTATTTTTCCTCATCAGATGGTAATCAATTTTTATAAATTCATGTGATGTGATTTTCTGGAGTTTTCTTTGGGATTCTGTATTTCACTGTTAGAATGTACATATGATTAAAGTTATAGATCGTTGCATTCTTTGTAAGTGGGCAAACCTGCAAAATCAGCAAGGGGTCAAATACTTATTTCCTCCACTGTATACACAATGCTACTGTCAGCATTTTCCGGTCTGTCGTTGCACATCAACATTGCACATTTCAATTGTTCATTTGCACATTCAGTTCTATATTTTTAAAGATTGTATTTTTCAGTTTTATCATTTCTGTTCTATATTTTTATTTCTCCATTTTATTTCCTTCCTTGCTTCTCATAGAAGTGTTGTGCACCAAAACACCAAGGCAAATTCCTTGTAAGTCTAAAAACCTACTTGGCAATAAACCTTATTCTGACTCTGATTCTGACAAGCCTCCGGTTCCAGGTCAGAAAATCAGCCTGAATTACACTGGTGTGATTTGCGTTAAGTAGCTAATGCCGACACACGCAGGCCGGGGAGGCGGCGTGCGGTGGGGGAGCGCCTGTGTGCATGTGATGCTCTAATCCGAGCAGACTGTAATCTGATTAGAGCAAAGAAGATCCCGGGGAACTGAACTGAGCCCCGGCCCGTGTTTGTTTGCACGGGCGCGACTGAGGTGTTTTCAGTAAACCTGAGCTAAAAAAAAAAAAAAGCGGCCTGCCGGGCCAGACGGCGCTTTCAGATGCGGGGAGGAAGAGGAGGAGGAGGAGGAGGAGGAAGAGGAGGAGGAGGAAG